CTTGACCTGGGCTGTTGGACTCCAGAAATGGCATTCTTTCCAGTACTCGAGGCTGCCTTTCACTCTACTGTGACGGTTCATTTTGTGTCAACTTGAACGGCCCACGGGGTGCCCAGATAGTGGGTCAAACATTATTCTGAGTGTTTCTGTGAGGGTGTTTCTGTGAGATTAACATTTAAATCAGTAGACTGAGTAAAGCAGATTGCCCTCCCCGATGTGGGGGGGCCTCATCCAATCAGTTGAAGGCATGGATAGAACAAAAAGGCTGACTCCCCCCTGATTAAGAAATAACTCCTCTTGCCTGACTGATTGAGCTGGGACATCAGATTTTTCCTGCTTTTGGACTTGAACTGAAATATCAGCTCTTCTCGGGTCCTGAGCCTGCTGACCTTCAGGCTAGAACTTCACCATTGGTTCTCCTCATTCTCAGGCCTTTGGACTTAAACTGGAACTACACCCTTGGCTCTCCTGGGGCCCTAGCTGGCCAACTCACCCTGCAGATCTCAGGACTTGTCAGCCTCCATAATTGCAAGAGCCTGTTCCTTATAATAAATTTCTCAGTCTATCTGTAGCTCTATTTATCCTGATGATTCTGTTTCTCTGGAGAACCCTAAAACACCCATTTCTTATGTGCTCTACCAGGCAACCCTGTGAGGTCGCTGGCTCAGGTACCATCATTGCTGTTTGCCAGGTGAGGGAAAACAAGACCTGGAAAATGACCATGAGTGTGTGCATGTGGAAACACACCTGCACATGCACATGCATGCACACGTGCACACCACACTTCACACATACTTCAGGACTAAGATCGGAATCCAGGTCTGCTCATTCCTCATGTGGTGTTGCTTCCCCAAGGCATCCACAGAGCAGCCACGGAGAGCAATGCGGGGTCACTTGAAGGAGTCATTTATCTCCAAGTCCTTCTTCACGCAGAAAAATCTGCCTCTGAGTATTGGGTGTATAGAGGAGCCTCTGCGATTTGTTTATTCTTTGAATTGCATATTGTAAGTTCCAGCTCCAGGAAACAATGCCACAAGGAAGTAATCAAACCTCTTAAGTTCCCACCTGGAGACAGCGAACACAGGGAAAGGATCCTTGAGAGTAATGTTGCCCTCCAAACAACTGGCTGCCGAGCGCACACAAATATCTGGTTAGTAGAATTTCTGTCTGAGCGAGGGCGTCTCATGATCCTTGTGAGCGGGTGTAAACTCCAAGGCCATTCAATGTATCAAGACTATTATACAGGTTGGCTGGGTGGTGCAGCAATTAAGTTCACACGTTCTGCTTTGGTGGCCCGGGGTTTGCTGGTTCAGATCCCAGGTGTGGACCTACACACTGCTTATCAAGCCATGCTGTGGCAGGCATCCCACATATAAAGTAGAGGAAGATGGGCAGGGATGTTAGCTCAAGGCCAGTCTTCCTCAGCAAAAAGAGGAGGATTGGCAGCAGATGTTAGGTCAGGGCTAATCTTCCTCAAAAAAGAAAAAGAAAAAGACCATGGACAACTATCCTAGGTGAGTATGCCATCTATTTTTACTTTCAAGGCTTTCTGTTTGATGAAGCCACGCCTGCCTTGGGGTTAAGAAGGAATTGCATTCTCCCCCCATCTCTCTCGCCTTCACGGTGTCCACTCTGGCCATCTAGGGCAAGAGCTGGGCTGTTAACCACTGAAGATGCAAGCCGACTGTCCACTGAAAACGAAGGGAACACTGGTGAGGGAACGTTTGCACAGAACATCTTCGACTGCTCCTCTCAAGTGGCCCGAAGTTCAGGAGCAGGTGGCTGTGGCCTTCTACCGCTGTTCCCAAGTAGCAGAGAGGCATCATATTCTGGGCCACAAGAGCCCCGCATAATCCTCCCAACTCCCCCTTCTCCAGCCTCCCACAGGCTTTTGTGTGTTGAAACGTCTGCAGAAAACGGATGGGGCTTTGCGCATCCACCTGAGATATGCAGCTCCCCAACACACTACCTCTGCTTCTGCAGCAGCCAAGAAGCTGGTGGCCGAGGAGGGTGGCCGGGGAGGAAGGGCTGGGACTAATGCTGCCAAGTGGGGACAGCAGGTGGGACCTGGTGCCGGACAGCAGGGAGCTTTGGTTTTAGTTAATGGCATTTGGCAAGTCCCCAGCTGGGAACAGTGACTACAGGGATGGGATCCTTGGACTGGATAAGTGAATGGGGTTCATTGTGGTCAAGGGGACAGAAAAGAGTTGTCATCCTTTGACTGAGAACCTTCCGTCTCTCCCAACCTCCTTGTCATAGAACAATATCATTTTCAAAAGGTCTGGTTTGGGGCTTCACAGCGTGAACGCGTTGCTGTGAGCAGCAGAAGAGAAAAGAGCATTTTTCCTTTAAAAAATGAGCCTCAGACTCACTCGTTCTGCCTGAAGCCAGAAGCTCCTGACTTCTGCCGGCTTCCCTCTGATGGAGAATGGGTGCTTCATACTTTGCAAGGCGCCGCTCTTCTCTCTGCTGGTTGGGTAAGCTCCTGTAAGCGGGGCTGAACAAGAAATGCCATTTCTCGTGGAAATAATTTCATTTCCACTAAACCCACACATGGGCTTGTTTTCGGAGCGGCTCAGACATGCCGGACAACATACTCTGAATCGAGGGGGGAAATGGAGACAGTTGAAACATTTGCTATGAGGGAAGGAACCAAGCAAAGAGAGCTGTTCATTAGCATTGACCTTGGAGATGGATGTCACGTAACACTGCGGTTCAGGCCTCATTATCTGCTGAGGGGCAAGCAGGGCTCCCGTGCGCTGTTTTGTAGCCATGATCCTCTCCCACAGGGAGCTTCAGTATCAGATGCTGTTCCCAAGCAGGCCGGTGCATTTGATGGGTCCTGGCACCGCTTGGTCACGTTCCATCTCAGCAGAGTGGTCCTTGCGAAGCAGCCAGCCCCAGTGCCATTGGTAACGCCACAGAATAACATATACTTGACTGTGTAAAACTGATGGCTTTCTACCTGGTGCCCTGCTGGGATATTTCCAGCCTGCAAAGGGATCTGATCGCACATTGGATTTAAAGTAGCCTTTACGAATATTAATTCAAAGTGAACTCTCCTAAAAAAAATACAGATGCCTAGCCCCACCCCAGATCAATGAATTAGAATCACCCTAGAATGGGGCCTGCGCATTAGAACTTAAAACAGCTCCTCAGATGGGAGCTTCTAAGGGGCAGCCAGGGCCGAGAACTCCTGAACCAGAGAAATGACAGCTCTCTCTCTTGGCTGTGTTTTCTGAGATTTCTGGGTCTCTATGGCTTTCTGCTGGTGGCACTGTGACATTCATAGGTGTGGGTTAAGCGCCACGGGAGAGTGCTCATGCTCCTGGGAGGCAGTTTCACTGTTTACGGGCCCTGTTGTTAGGGAAACAGGCATCGCCATGTGCTAAGGCCACCTGGTAGGTGGACACACACACTCTCTCTCAAACGCTCTTTGTAGGTTGAAAGGCCTGCACACTGGTCACCGGGCTGGGCTTGCAGGGTGTCCAGCAACCATGGGAGCTGCAGTCCCACGACCTCACTTTCCACTCTGTGGAATGTATCTCCCTTGTATGCCCACTGATGAAAAAGGTACTTAATTTACGTCACTGGTGTTACAAACTCTTTCATCTTATGACCCTCGGGGACTTTGATAAACGCCCTATAAATGCCACACCCCTAATTGTTTGTAGGCCATGACCCAGTCCAATTATGACAAAAAGGTTTACAAGAGACGCTTGACTGGAAGGCCACAGATAGGCTAAAAGTAAAAGGACGGAAACAGATGAACTGTGCAAACTCAAAGTAGAGAAAGATGCTGTGGCTCTCTCAGGATCAGACAATGTGGGCTTCAAGAGAAGGAGGATAGACAGAAGTCACCCCTCCAAACACCCGCTTCCATCCCCTTCTCCCCCCTTCTCCCTGCCGCCACTGCCTTAGCATGGGGTCCTTCATGCCCTGAGGTTCAGCTGCATCCGCCGGGACAGGAATCTGGGTGCGGGTGCTGGGGTGCCCTCTGAGGTCTTCCAGCCTCCCCAGCTCCCGGCAGCTCCTCCTGCGCCGCCCTGCTCTGTATTCCTTCTCGCTTGTTCCCCGTTCTCCCCGCTTGTTCCCCCTTCTCCTCTCCTCTTCCAGGCCCTTGGCATAATCTCATCTAGGGACTTGGCTTTTGCAAAAGCAGGGAAGAATCTTTCCAGCTGGCCCACATCCCCGAGGCAAAGAAGTGTGAAGCTTGGCTACCCACTGGAAATTGGTGTGGGTGGCGAATAAAGGGACCCAAACTCAAATCAGTATTTTAACAATCGACCCTTACAATGCCCTGGCGTTTTCCCCGGCGCCCACAAGTGGCACTCATTGTTCCTGCCCTGGACGTTTCCAGTCTCTTGGTCTTTTTGGACAATAGCTGCAGAGGTGCTTGGCTCTCTTATCGTCCCCCACCCCAGACTTTACCCCGTTGAAGGGGGCCCTCACTTTTTGCAGGGGGCTCCCAGCTCACCCAGGAATCTCATGTCGAATGGAGCAGGATTAAGTTATTCCCTCTGCAGCAGCATCTGCGCAGAGACTTGGCTTCAAGACCCAATCTCCCCTGGGCATGTTTGCCAGCCTGACCCTCCTGCGTGTGCAGAGCTCCTCTTCAGGGCAGAAAGCACTTCTCACTCAGCAGTACAGAGGTCCTCTCTCTTAGAATGAAATTGCTCTGAGAGGGCACCTGGGAGCTCACTCCTCAAAGTAGGTCTGCGGACCAGCAGCACGGCACCGGGCATCCAGGAGCTTCTCGGAAAGGCAGATTCTCAGGGGCCCCCAGACCTCTTGCATCAGAATCTGCATTTTAATAATCCCAGGTTATTAGTGCACAGGTAAAATTTACAAAGTACTCCTCGAGCGCATTCCCCTCACACTGATAATGAATCAAAACAAGCCTGTATTTACAAAATATTTTTAAACAATTAAGGAAAAAATCATGAAAACTTTTGCTTATCAAGGTAGCAAAGAGTAGAAATAAAAAGATTATACCAATGTTTATGTGAAGGAGATACTTTTTTATTAGACGCTGCTGGTGGGAAGGTCAATTAGTACAAGGTTTCTAAAAGGCAACTTGTTTGAGAAGTCTTGGAAAGATCCTCAGCCAAAGGAATAATTTCATTTCTATGACTTGACCTTAAGTTAAAAAGTAGGGTGTGATGTAGCTTTAAAGATACAATGAAAAGGATTTTCAGACAATGGTTTAGCTGTTTTTCTAATCTTCCTCGCTAACAGAATCCCAGTTTTGTGGGGAGGCGGGGAGACGGGGAGCAGCGTGCTTAGCTAAAAACCTTTTCTGGACTCTGGGCAAAAGGATGGACAGTGAGGTGTAAGCACAGGTCACTGGGAGGCATCTCCAGGAAAACTTGATGAGGGCAATCAACTCAGTTACCAGCCCCCTTCTGACCTATGACCTCTGCCCCCTCTTCCCCTGTATCCTGCCTGGAACTCTGATGGGATGTTGGAGATCCATTACCCACTGACCCGATGTCAGCACTGTCTCCTTCCAGACTTTTCATTATATGAGAAAAAGAAAACCCTAATTTGTTTAAGTGATTGTGTCTCAGGAGTGTGACATTTGGATTTGAACACAACTCCTAACTTACATGCAACCTAAATGTCCAAAAACAGAGGCTTGATTAATACATTATCATTTATCTGCACAATGAAATGCTTTACAGCATTAAAAAAATCACTCAGAACTGTGGTTTCAAATTATTTCTAGCAGTGGACACTTCCTCTTTTTAATATTCAGTCTTTCATAGAATCCTAATATATAGAACTGTTAACAGTAGACTATTCTCTTTTTTTGGTAAGAAAGACTGGCCCTGAGCTAACGTCTGTTACCAATCTTCCTCTATTTTGTATGTGGGACGCCGCCACAGCACAGCTTGATGAGTGGTGTGTAGGTTCGTGCTTGGGATCCAAACCCATGAACCCCTGGTGGCCGAAGCAGAGCACATGAACTTAACCACTATGCCACTGGGCCGGCCCCAAAAGTAGACTATTCTTGGTGAACTGGGGGTAGGAATTCATAATCTTCTCCTTCCACCTGCAAAATCTACTCTCTTCTGTAGGGGCCCTGAAATGCCTTCATTGGTCTCTAGAATTTGGTAAAACAATAGAAAACAGTTAGAAAAACATTGTTGTTGTGATCTCTTGACCTACGTGAAAAAAATATTCATGAGATCTTGTTAAGCAAAAAAAAACCCAGTTTACTAATCACATTACGGTATGATCCAATTTTATATTTAAAAATATATATAAACACTAGCTCTCCCAGGCTTCACCAGTTTTTGGAAAAAAATGAAGTCACATGAATTGTAATTGTTCAAAATCCCTTGGCTGGTGGCCGTCATTTGAGAAATGGTAGCACCTTCCTCCTCAATCTCCCCCAGCTATCTCTGAAGGGACTGGAGGGTGTTTCCCACCCGTTTGGACCAGGATCCCTCAAATTCTCGCTCTGGCTTCTAGGTTTCCATCACTTGCAGAGGTGCGTGAGGACCATCCCAGCCCCGCTCTTGCCGCGGGTGCCTCTGAGAGGTCTGCCCCAGATGCCTGCCTCATGCTCACTTTACTGCAAACACTTGCCTTGGTCCTGTGCTGCGTGGGGTCATGCTGGTTTCTGCAGAGAACTAGGAAGATGAACAGGGGCTGTTCCATGGGGCTGAACTGTGGCTCAAGGGCAGGCTGGGGACCAGAGGCCATGCCAGTGGTCCTGCTGACCTCATTTCTACAGGCCTGCCTGACCCCATGCCTCCGTGCATCCAGCATCAACCTCCCAGCTCTCTCCAGCCCCAGATGAGCTTGTGGGGACCCCAAGTTCATCATTCTCAATTGGTCCCCCATACATGTACACGTATACACGTGCAAGTATCCACTGGAATTTAAAATTTTAATAGTAGTAACTTCTGAATGGCAAGATTGGGGTGCTTCAATGTTTTAAATGTTTTTCTTGCTTACTTGTGTTTTTAAAATTTCCACAATAAACATGTATTACTTGTATTGAAAAACTTAAGATGCACCTGAAATCAGTTACGGCTCCAATCACTAAATACACTTAATTGCTTAGTTCACTTAAATGTGAGTTTCCTGCCACCCAAGGCAAGTATTTTACCTGTGTTAATGTTAGAGGGGCAGAGGTGGGAGTGGGGAGGGGCGGGGTGGCAGGATGGCAGGAGGGGGAGACGTACCATAGGCAGAAAAAAAGTCATGTGGAACTGTGGTTTCAAATTTTTTTTTAGTAGGAGCCACCTCTGCTTTTTTATATTCAGTTTTTTGCAGAATCTCAGTATTAATATAGTGTTAACAGTTAGTGTGTGTGTGTCTAAATCTATACGTCTTTTTTCCAGCTTTATTGAGATATAATGGACACGTAGCATCGTAAAGTTTAAGGTGTACAATGTACTGATTTGATACACTTGTTATCTCTATCTTTATCTCTATCTCTAAGAAAGACTGAAGACAGGCTGAGGACAATGCATTCCAACAAAGACAAACGTCCTGTCCTTCTGGGGCTCCGTGACCTATTCTTTCTGGAGAGCCAGCTCACTGGCTCCCCGCCCTGCGGCTGGTGGGAACGGCTCTGGGGACACAGACTGACCATGCAGGGGGCTGTATCGCAGACCAGCGCTTCGTTTGTGGCGCCCCTGGGTTTTCACACTGGCACATCACTGGGGAGTGGGGGGCTCCAGTCACAATGAGGGGATTGGGACCATTAGGACGATGCTTGATATTACCCAAGTTGAGTCAGAGTCACCATAGGGAACCATGAAGCGTCCTAATTCCCATTCAGGTCTGCACGGCACAGCAGCCCTTCTGCTGCTGAAGGCTGTCGGCCTCAAGCCGCTTTGCAGAAAGATTCACTCTCCTGGTGGGAACTCAGGTGGGACGGAGACGAGGGTTCAGGGGCGTGTGCAGGGTGAGTCTCTACTGAGTTTAGTTCATTAGTGGCTTTCCTCTGAGGGAGTCACTTGGCACAGCGGATTCTGCTCTGAGAGCTGGACTCGGCAAGTGCCCTGGTTCAGGGGACAAAATTTCAGTCCTCGTTTTGCTGTTACAACAAAAGAAGGCTCCTCCCACGCCCTTTGGAGACTGTTTCTGACCCACTCTGGGTACCCGACAGCTCCTCCTTCCTTTATGTTCAGAATATCCCCTTGGACGGTCTACGTCTCTCTCTCTTCTTATTATTGTCCTCTGTCCCCCAATTTCCCTTCTCCCCTCCCACGTTGTAGTGCTGCACACTGCTCAAAGCAACTTCAAAACAACTTCAAAGCGCCTCCCCTTTTTGCTTGAACTGCTCAAAGTGGCCCCTTGTCTTCCTCACCCCACCAGCCCCCAGCAGAGCACCAACCACCCACTGTTAGTCTTGGTTGCGTACCTTTGCCAGCTAACATTTGGTAAGCCTATACGCTCTTTCTAGCACATACATTCATTAGCTTAATTCTGACAACATCCCTATCCTGCAGGTACCTCAATAAAACCCACTGTTTAGATGAGAGAACTGACTCTCAGCAAGAGCCTCGGGCTCAGGTCCCACGCGTGGAACGTGGTAGAGCCTGGTTCCCAGTCTGAGCAGCGGGCCACGCGCCTGTTCTGCAACTGTCTCCTCTGGGAGCCTGTATGGAAAATTTTAAATACTCCAACCCTACCATTTGGCATTTTCAGTGGTTTTCATGGTCCCTCAAGGCCCTTCTGCCTGCAAGACAGACCACTGTGGAGCATCTGGTGCTGGAGCTGAGAGCAACATCACAAAGTCCATGTTCGCACAGATCCACACGGCCCAGGGAATAGGGTGAGGGATTCAAAGAACAGACGTTTAACTTGCTCAAACATCTCTATGCAGATGTCACATTTAATCCTCAGGCAGGTATTTTTATTATTAGCTCCATTAAAGCTTTTTCATTGATGTGAAATTCATACAACATAAAATTCACCATTGGAAAGCGAACATTTCAGTGGCATTTAGTGCATTCACAACGTTGTGCAACTACCCCCTCTACCTAGTTCCAAAACATTTTCATCACTCCCCAAAGAAAACTCTGGACTCATTAAGCTCCAGCCCCTGGCAACCACCACCTGCTTTCTGTCTCAATGGATTGACCTATGCTGGATATTTCATACGGATGAAATCATACAATATGTGGCCCGTTGTGTCTGACTTCTTTCACTTAGCATAATGTTTTTGAGGCTCACCCGTGTCATAGGACATATCAGTGCTTCATTCCTTTCTATGGCAGAGTAATACTCCATTGTATAGACTGTACATTTTGTTTATCCCTCTATTGATGGACACTTGGGTTGTTTCCACCTTTTGGCTATTGTGAATAACATTCCTGCTATGAACATTCCTGTACAAGTATCTGTTTTGAGCACGTATTTTCATTCCTTTTGTTATATACTTAGGAGTGGAATAGCTGGGTCATATGGTAATTCTCTATTTAACTTTTCGAGGAACCTATTAGCACCATTTTCAAAGTAAGGAATCTGAGGCTTAAAGAAATTATGAGTTGTCCAAGGTCACATGACTAGAAAATGATGCAGCCAGCACTAGGACCCTGCTGTCATTTTAAGGACCCTGACCACAGGGCACATCATTCATTCACTCATCAAACACCAACTGAGGGCCACAGCCAGCCTTTGTGGCAGATTTAACAATCTCTCTCAGAAAAAGAGCTTCCTAATGCCAGAAACTTCAGGAGAAAACAAAACAAGGGGAGTATTTTTAATCATAAGTCAACATGATGAGCTCCGACATAAATTCCATTAAGGCAACAATCTATGTGAGCACAATGATGTTCTCTCTGTCTTGCTGCATAGTTTAATGTCAGTGTGAGGAGTCCACGCTGATCCAGCAGACAGCAAAGGTCCACTCTCCCCATTTCTAATTGTCTGTTACTGTCTGCCTTTCTTGATTGACCCTGGGAAGGGGGGGACCAGTTTGGTTCTGAAGTTCTGATTGGATTGCAGAGTCTGTGAAAGTCACTGTCAAAAGAGAATCTGTTGATAGCAGGGCAGGCTCAAAGGGTTAAAAGTCAGGCGAGAGACGGGGGAGGCGGCAGGACTCAGGCATTGGAAATCTTATTTTTCAGTGGTTTCTAGGGGAATTTTACTACGATGAGGCAAATTCTGATGTCTACCCTCCACTGCTCCCAGCTCACTGGAGCATTTTCTGTGCGGAAAGGTGACATCCAAAGGCTGCAGCTGAGCTGGGTTTGAAAACAGACGTGGGCTCCTCCTGACTCCCTCCCTCCTCCCTCTCCCATCTCCTCCCCTCCCCCCTCCTCCCCCCTCTCTCCCCCCTCTCCCCTCCCCTCCCCGCCCCTCCCCTTCCCTCCCTGGCCCCGATGACCTGACTAATCAGAACCCTGCCAAGACCACTGAGGAGGACTCCCTGGCTAATCTAATCTGCGTCCCCACGCGGGGACAGACACCCCCGCTGGGCCAATGAGACGCAGTTGTGCAAGCTCGGCCGGGCGGTGGAAAATTCCATGCGCTCGGCGGCGGCGGCGGCGGCGGCCCCTGGCGGCGACGCGCGCTCCGCATTCCCAGCCGGGTCCGCTCGCGGCGTCCATCAAACCGCCCGGTTTCTAGGTGCTTTTGCCGCCAGTCCCCCTGCGAGAAGCTAGGTTTTCTCTCGTTCTCCCCAACTCTCTGCGACAAAAGCTTTCAGCAAATCAAAGAAAAGCTGGCGATGCCTGTGCCATTGGGGGGGAGGGGGTACCTATGGTGGCATTGTTCCCCCTGCGATTTGGTGTGTGTTATAAATCACCGTCCCCACCTCTGCCTTACCTACTCAAGCTATAAGTCCTGGCTGGAATTGTCCCCCAAGGTCAGCCCCCGGGCTTTGCAACTCAATGTGTGTGGGGAGAATGAATGAAAGGGGTACCTTTCTCGATCCTTCCACCAGGGAACTACGGCGCCCTTCCAGAAGAGGCCGGTGGGTCCTAGAGAGCGAAGGGTTAGGAGTCAGCAAAGATGTAAATATAATGAAGGTGCAGAGGGGGACCTAAGCCACCAAGCAAACCAACGCAACAGGATCAGGGCTAGGATCCAAAGACGCGCAGAAAATTCCAGGGCCACAACGGAGGGACATCTTGCGCAGTCCGCCACTGCGGGGGAGGGGGATGCGTGTCCGCGGGGGAAGGAAAGGAGTCAGCCAGACAGAAGGGGGAGGCGCCGGGAGCCTGTGTTCCAGCCCCCGAAGGGAGGCCGCAGTGTTTCCACGAAGCTGGGCTGGGTTACGAGATCCCTATCTTTCTTAACTCCACGTGAATTATTGCAATAAATTCCCATTATTTCAGGGGATCTGGGCCTGTTTCTGTTCCTCGCAACGTGAAAGAACCTAGTGAACACAGTCCAAAAATTAGAATGCAACCTTGCCCAAGAGAGCTTCTGCCAAAAGGCAATCACGATGGCTTCTTCTGGGATTGGAAAGGGGGAGGGGACGGTGGGCCCCAGCTATGGGAGGGGGAGAGCGGGAAAGGGAAAAATACAGGCTTTTCTTCTTAAAGGAGAGTGTATGAAGCTTCAAGAAGAACCTGTGGACCAAAGGGAAGAAGGGCCATCGTGAACCAAGCCGAGCTCAGGGAGACAGAAAATCCGGATGCCCGACTTCCGCCAGCGACCCGCTGAAGGTCCCAGAAAACTCCTAACCTCTCTGAGTCTTAGATTTCACCTCTGTAAAATCAGGACCATAACAATTCCTGAGACTAAAAATGAAATTATGCCTAAGAAACTGTTTGTAAAGAAATACACGGAAGTGTATTTGCATGCATAAACAATATATATGTCTTTTTAGTTGCATTGACTGACAAACAGCCACGGCTGAATTAATCAATCCATACACGCATTAACGTATTCAGTAATATTTACGGAGCACCACCACGTGCCAGGCCCTGTTCTCTGCACCGAACAGCAGTCCCTTCTCTGGGGAAGCTCACGTTCTCAACGGGAAAGACAGGTGATAAAATAAGTCAGAAAACTGTGACGCTAGGTGATAAGGAGAAAACGAAAGCAGGAAGGAAGGGGAGGGGCGTGGGTGGGAGATGGCGGCAGCTCTGAGTGCGTGAGAAGGAAAGGCCCCATTGACAAGGCCGCCTTTGAGCTGACAGGGGGTGAGCCCCAGGGATTTCTGGGGGAAGTACATAGGAGGTCGGGGGTGTCAGCCAGTGTGATGGGCCTGAGGTGGGCCTGTGGCCTTCCATGCTGGAGGAAAAGGCAGTCCCTGGAGGGGGTGGGCAGGCGTGGGGCAGGGCTTGTAAGGCCTTGAGGGTGGATATAGGGTAGGGACTGGCCCTTCCCGTGAGTGTCCTGGACAGTCTTTGGATGGCACTGCTGAGGCTCCACGTTGGTCCTTAACTGGCTGTAATGCAACTCCATTGCTAGCTTGGACGCTGGAAAGAGTTTATTGAAAGCCTTGTTATGTATGTGTTCCAGCATGTGCTGGTGGTTCTGGAGAGGACGAGAAAGTACAGAGCTCCCTCGCCTTATGGGGTTACATCTTGATAAACTCATTGTAAGTTGAACATATCGTAAGTTGAAAATGAATTTAATCCCCCTGACTTACTGAACATCACAGCTTAGCCTAGAGTACCTTAAAGGTGCTCAGAACACTTCCCTCAGCCTACAGTTGGGCAACATCATCTAACACAGCGCCTATTTTATAATCAAGTGTTGACTACCTCATGTAATTGATTGAATACTGGACTGAAAGTGAAAAACAGAATGGTTAAGTGTATCGGTTGTTTACCCTCCTGATCACATGGCTGACTGGGAGCTGTGGCTCGCTCCCGCTGCCCAGCATCACAAGAGAGAATCAGACCACGTGTGACTAGCCAGAGAAGAGACAAAAATTCAAAATTCAAAGTATGGTTTCTACTGAATGCTTCTCGCTTTCATGCCATCGTAATATTGGAAAAATTGTAAGTCAAACTATCAAAAGTCGGAGACCGTCTGAATAACACGGGTCCATGCTTCGAGGAGGCCACAGTATTGTGGGGAATAAAATATACTACAAAAAGCAATTTACTGACCAATACAAGACAGTTTTCTAACACTTGCTAAATTGTGCAGAGAGGCCCAGAAGGAAACGGGGAGCTTTGGGGACCCGGGGGCACCCCAGGATTATGCCAGGATCATAGTGGATGCTCAGCGATGGCTTGTGAACTGAGGGAGTGCCGGAAGCTGAGAAGCAGAGAAAGCTTTGTGGCTAATTAAGGCTCCTCTTCTCTCCGGCAGCCACTCACACTCTGGCCAGTGTTGCCAGCCCCCAGCAGGGCTGCTGCGGACAAGCCACTCGGTGATAGGAGGCCTACTGAAGAAGTAAATGACCATCTGGTTGCCCGGTGGAATGTTTCCCCCCGGGGAAATTACAAAGTGGAACCAGGTGCCCAGGCTGCAGCCTCACGTCTTTACTAGGCCAGTCCAGGGTCCTGGGCTCAGGGCCAGGGGGTAGCTGCATTCTGCTGACCGGCCAGTCTTCTTTCCAGGTCTCTGATTCTCCTTGTTTTTCTAATCCTGTCTGAGGCTTCAAGGAAGATGATCAGGGATAAAGAAGTTTATGGAAGTCAGTTCTGAAAACCCTGCAGTGCCTTGCCCCTCAGAGGTCTTTGCAGGACTGGCCAGCTGCAGAACTCCCAGCAGCTCTAGAATGTAGTAATGGTGCCCCCTTCTTGCCCCCCACAAGGCCAGCCAGGCGCCTGCCTCTGTGCCTGGGGGCCAGGGGCTCCATTCTGAAGTCACAGGACTCATCGCTGTGCAGTTTCCCTGCTCTCAGCTTCCAGCTCTAGAATCGCCCTTGACCTCCCCGGACAGGCCTGAGCAAGTCCTGTAACCTTCAAGGACTCAGCTACGCCCACCCCAGGCTTTGTGAAACCAAGACAACCACACGTGCTCATTCCTCAGCTCAAGTCAGCGGGAGCCAGGCTGCTCTGCTGGCAAGAGAGGGAGAGAGGGGACGTGGTCCTATACTTCCTTCTTGTAGCTAAATGTTCTGTTTATTTAATGTTTTGAGTAAATAATATATCATATGGTTCAAAAACCTGACAATTATGAACATCACACGGTGGAAAGATCGTTTCCTATCTGCTCAGTTCTTATGCCTCACCACGAAAAGGTAGCCACTGTTATTAATTTGTTGTTTATCTTTCTAGAGAATTTTTCCTTTTTTTTTTTGCACATGCAGGCAAATTAAATATATATTCTCTCCTTCCTAAGTCTTTTCTACTCGCTTGGTAGTACACAGCACAGCGTTCTGTACCTTGTGGTTTTCAGTTAACAGTGTATCTCAGAGATCTTTCCATCCTGGTACATGAAGTATGTCATCATTCTTCTTTCCTGAGGCCTGCTATACAAAATGTGCAGAAACAATTCTCTATAGATGGGCGTTCAAGTTGTTTGCAATGTTGCTTTCAAACAATGCTGCCATGGATAGCTTTGTAATTCTTTGTGTAGCAGGTAATTATGTGAATACAGAAGGTGAATTCTTACAAGTGAAATTGCTGAGTCAAAGGGTAAATGCCTCTCTAATGTGGGCAGATGTTGCTAAATTACCCTCTGCAGGGGGTATGCCAATTGACACTCCCAGTAGCCATGTAGGAGAGAGAGGGCTTATGTCTCTAGAGCTCACCCACAGAGTTTCAGACCTTTGGGGTTTTGTCATTTCTGATAATTTTTTAAGAAAATTAGTATGGTTTAATTTGTCATTTAATTTGTCATTTAATTCTTTCTCTCTCTTTTTTTTTTTTTTGAGGATGATTAGCTCTGAGCTAACATCCGTGCCCATCTTCCTCTATTTTATATGTAGAACGCCTGTCACAGCATGGCTTGATAAGCAGTGTGTAGGCCCACATCCAGGATCCAAACTGATGAACCCTGGGCCACCAAAGGAGAGGACTCAAACTTAACTGCTATGCCACCGGCCAGCCCCTGTATATGTTTTTATTATGATTGACATTGAGCATATTTTCATATGTTTAAGACCCAAGTATGTTTCCTGCAAACTGTCTATATCCATACCCATTTTTCTGTTGACCTGTTGGTCTTTTGTCTTATCAATTTGCAGGAGCTCTTTATATATTGGGGAACTGAACCTTTTGTTTGTGATATGAGTTACACACATTTCTGATTTTGTCATTTTCTTATAGACTTTTTCAAAAAATTTGTATGTTTTTAGAATTTGTATGGTTTCTGTCATGCAGAAGTTTTCAATTTTATGTAGTTGATATTGTCAATCATTGATTTTTGTGGCTTTTAGATTTTCAGTCATAGTTAGCAAGACTTTCCTTATCTTCTATTTTTGTTTTTGTATTTTTATGTTTTCTTTTTATATTTAAATCTTTGATATAGTCAAAATTTATTGTACCATAGAGGTGAAGTCTATATACAAAATGTTCGTTATCAACACTACTTATTGAATACTCCGTCTTTCCCCCATGTATTTGAGATGACACCTTTTTTTGTTTTTGAGGAAGATTAGCCCTGAGCTAACATCTGCTGCCAATCCTACTCTTTTTGTTGAGGAAGACTGGCTCTGAGCTAACATCTGTGCCCGTCTTCCTCTACTTTCTATGTGGGATGCCTACCACAGCATGGCTTGACAAGCAATGTGTAGGTCCACACCTAGGATCCAAACATGTGAACCACAGGCTGCCGAACCAGAATGTATGAACTTAACCACTGCTCCACTGGGCCAGACCCCCGAGATAACACCTTTGTCTTAAACAATATTGCTATATGCATTTGGATATTTTTCAGGATTTTCAATTCTGTGCCAGATATCAGTCTGATAAATCATATTTCACTATTACAATGTTTTAATTGTTGAAGATATTAAGTATATTTCAATATATAGTATAGCTATTGCTTCTTGTTTATCTTCTTTTATTTTTTATTTTTGGTGAGGAAGATTGGCCCTAAGTTAAAATCTGTTGCCAAACTCCCTCTTTTCGTTTGAGGAAGATTGTCCCTGAGTTAACATCCATGCCAGTCTTCCTCTATTTTGTATGTGGGACACTGCCACAGCATGGCTTGATGAGCAATGTGTAGATCAGTGCCTGGATCCAAACCCGTGAGTCCCAGGCCCCTGAAGCAGAGCGTGTGAACTTAATCACTATGCCACTGGGCCAGCCCCTCATTTATTTTCTCTATCAGAATTACCTGGGCTATTCTTTATTTTTCCACATGAAAGTTAGAATCACCTTATATGGATAAAAATTTCTTTTTGCATTTCTATTGAGATAATATTTATAAGTTAGCATTTATATATTAAGAGAAATTGATATAAGGCTAAGTCTTCCTATCTGAGAACATGGTATGTCTTTTCATTTATTCAAGTCTTTTTCTGTCTCTTTTTTTGTTTTTTTTTTATGAGTGTTTAATAGGTTATTTAGGTCTTGCACATATCTCATTCAACTTATTTTTAATTATTTTACATTTTGATTGTAAATAAGGTATTTCCTTCCGTTATATTGCCTGATGCTGTTTATATTT